CAGAAGTGAGAAAAAGCTCTGTATGTGTGTTAGTCTGGGTACTTTAGAGAAACAAATCCACAGAAACTCATGTATAAGTGAGAGCTTTGTATAAAAGTTAAGTGCACATCAAGAAAACATCCCAACCCAGTGCTGTCCAAGCCCACAGTCCAACATTAACCCATTAACCCAAATGTCCAACACCAATTCACAAAGTCCTCCTCCATCTCACAAAACACACACTATGATGCCAACTGCAGGAGGAAAGCTGAGTCAGTGAATGTGTAAGCATCTCAGTGCTGGCAGGGGTCTCCACATGGCTGCTCCAGCACCCAGGCTGCATCAGGGTAGGTCCATGTGGCTTCTCCTCAGGCATGTCTTGCAGGAAGTGAGCCTTGCCAGCTGAAGCAGGGAACTGGCTAAGGCAGCTGCACTCCGGTCCAACCATCACAGAGCAAGAGACTTGAGAACTAGAAAGGTGAGGCTCACTGAGCCATTTATCCCTCTGCCCTTCAATTGACCCCACATGTGTTTATCAGCCATGTTGGCACAATAAACTAACTACCTCAGTATGTTAGTATGTTGTTTTTCAAGATTTCATATTATTCAAAACATTCAAAAACAAAGGGGGTAAATAATAGGTTAAGGTTAGGGTTCCTGGGAAATGGAACTAAAGGATCATGGGATTTTCCCTCAAATATTTTGAAGCCTTCTGGGCCTAGGCTTCCATCTATGAAGTGTTCTTGCAGTAGTAGGAGGAAAGCAAGCATGTGGATAATGGATGGCTATGGAAGATATTTGGAGGCACCAGAATATAAGCCAGAAGCCCAGATGTCTTTTTACAATTTTCCTTCACATCTTACTTAGGAAACACAAAAGTTAGTTCTTGTTGTTCCCATTTTAAAGTGGAGGAAACAGACTCAATATATAAATAATATGCCTGTCGCCACTTGACTAATAGATGCAAGTCCCAGAACCTTCTAGGCTTCCTTACTTCATATTTTCAAGCATGCTTTTCATATTAAGGAAGCCACTGAGGGGTGGCTAATCTAATAAAATAGACATGAGAAGATATATATTTAACAGAAAACTCAGTCCTTAAAATTATTGCAAGTGGAGTATTTCTTTGGAAAGAGAAAAGTACTGGTACCCTGTTCTGTTGATTAAGTTTAGACTCATATATTTCAGAGATCAAAAGAGCCCAGTATAGATCAAGTCCTTAAGTCTGATATTAGCCCATATGTCTGATACCAAGTCTGTAAATTCCTCTTGAGACTCACGCAACACATGCAATGACGCCGAATGCAAGAAGATCATAGGCCAGTGGGTAGAAAGTCTTGTGGATCCAGTGGCAGTGGAAGCCTCTCAGCACTGGCATGGGTTTCCATGTGGCTCCTCCAGGACCAGGGCTCTGGCTGCATCAGCATAGATCCATGTGGCTTAACAGGAATATCTCGCAGGGAGACGAAGCAGGGTGTGTGTCCCACCTCCAGGGAGGAAGATAGGAGTTCCTAGAATCCTCAGGAGAAGGCCATGCCCACACAGAAGCCTCATTGGCTATGGCCTGATTGACGGGATATACTCCACCCCTTCACAAGTTGACAGGAGATTATGTAATTGCCACAGCTGGTGGCTGCAGAAGTGAACGAATCCAAGATCAGCAAGTCAGATGGCAGCAGACAACTCTCAGGATGGACAGGCAATATGGCAGGCTGATAGCTCAAGTCCAAAGAACTGGACGTGAATGAACCAGATGCAAGATGCAAATGCAGTACAAGACAACCAAGCTTTTCACAGCACTCACTGATATATAAAGAGTTTATGCCCTTTCAATTGGTTACATCAGGGCTGTTAACTAAGAAGGGTTGTTGTGTCCTTAATCTTAATCTCCTTAAAATTGATTTACTGCTTATAACAGATCCTATTATGGAGGTGAACACAGTAAATTAGATCACATCAAGGTTGATCAGTAAGTCTTAACTGCCAAACGACTGAGAATCCTGACCCAGCCAAAACAAAAAGTTGCAATCAGCGTTTTGATTGACACAAAACCTTAAATATCCTACCAGCTTTCTCTCTCTGGGAGCGAGGGCAACTATCCCAATGCTGTCAAGAGGTCAATGGAAACCAATACAGAAATCGTTTTAGAAACTCTGGCATTTGAATATATTAGTAAATCAATGGCCAATAGGCAGGCTAGTTTTATAGCTATGTGACCTACAGTCACATGGGGCCCTGCTCTCAGAGGGGCCTTCCAAAACCAAACTCAGTGCTGACTCACAGTGAGCAGGGTAGAACTGCTCCTATGGGTTTCTGAGACTATAACTCTTTTGTGTGAGGCAGGGTTCTCTAGAGAAACAAAACCAGGACACTTATGATTATATATGGATAGCTAGATAGATATTTGTATACAGCACAAAGGAATATAACAGCTACTTAGTCCACACAGCAGTACAGAGGGCTCAATTCAATTCACTTCCATGGAACAGTTAATACACTGGAAGTCCTTCAACTCACCAGGGCTCCCAGGTCCAAGGTCAAGAAAGTGGACAGCTGAGTCTTCCCTTGGGCAATACATGCAGAGTCTACCCACAGGCAGCAAACAGTAGGGCAGATCACCAACAGTCAGCAGTTCAGGAGCTTAGAGAAGCAGGCCCAGACGGGATATCGAACTGAAGCAATGCAAGAGGATAGGAATCACCAGCTTCACGCTCAAACAATGTGCACAACAGCAGCATTGTGAAGCTGGTCTCAAAGGAACCTCAAGCTCTAGCAACATGATCCACGGGTTGGCTGTTCCACAGGTAGTGTAGCTCACAAATCGAGGCAGAGAAATAGCCAACGCAGCCGCATGCTGGACCAATCACCAGAGAGCAAGAGAGAGAGGGGTGAACCTTGCCGAGCCTTTTATTTCTTTGCCCTCCAATCAAACTGCAACCTAGTGAATCCCACATGTTCCTATTGGCCAAGTTGGCACAATAAACCTACCTATCACATTCTTTATGGGAGTAGAAAGCACCAGCTTTCTCCCACAGAGTTGCTGGTGGTTTTGAACTGCTGACCTTGCAATTAGCAGCCCAACTCATAATTCCTACACTTGGCTTAATGCTCTGCAAACATGATCTTGAGATTCTTAGTTTATCTTTGAACTTGTGTTTTATAAGTGAAATCTAATGGGCAATTGAGTATGTGAATGAGTAGCAGACATAGGACAGGTGGCAATGTGCACATACACAGGCCTGAGCCTGTGGCCAAGGCAGGCAGAACAGGTGTCCAGCCCTTGGTCTGGTGGAAAACAGGCCTAAGGGAAGTATGTGGCACCATGGGGTTAATGAACCCAAAAGTCTTGTAATCAATCAAGAAGCACATCAATACAAACCAAAAACCAAATCAAACTCACTGCCAGCCCATCAGGGCCAACACATAGCAACCCTACAGGACAGGATAGAACTGCCTCTGTGAGCCTCCAAGACTGTAACTCCTTATGGGCATAAAAGCCCCATCTTTTTCCCGAGGAGTGGCTGGTGGTTTCAAACTGCTGACCTTGTGGACCACAGCCCAACAAGTAACCACTCTACCGCCAGGGCTCCTCACGTTAATAATGTGTTGTTTTTTATTGTATTATATAAACTTATGAGACCAAAATGTTTATTTCTCGCAACTCTTATTTTTTTTTAGCTATAGATCATTATTACCTCTATTATCTGTGTAATAAAATGTATTTAGGGGAAAATAGATTAAACGACTTGAATGACACTTTTTCCTAGCTCTTTAACCAGAGCGCCCCATTTTCATTTTACATTGGGCCCTGAAAATTTTGTAGCTGGCCCTGTCAATATAATTGGTGGAAGAAACATCTTCAAAGCTGCTATTTCCCGTAGGAATCATAGAAGAGTTTTGGTTTTTCCCCCGTGGGACTTTGGTTTGGAGTAAAGTAGCCTTCCAATGAGCACTGAATTGATTATAATTATCTTACTGATTTAAAATGAAACATTTTGATTCTGAAAAATCAAGCAGATTCTTTGCAATTTTGCATGCATACATACCAGAAGACTAACAGAACTTTGGCAAATACATTTACGAGTCTATCCTGTGAACTATTTGCTAGATTATAGAGGTAAACAAGATACTATTATTGTTCTCAGGAGCATAATAAGGGAAGCAATATAAAAAGACAAATTAAATTATACTATACAAATATTAAGGGCAACAAGAAAGGTATGCAAAGGTATGTGAGGCTTCAAATAACTTGTGGGAAAATATCATTATCTTTTAATTCTAGTTTCCTGTGAACTTTTTGAAGCTCTTTTGTAGATGTTTGAAGGATCAGAAAGGAGCGTAAGATTAGCCTAAAGGAATACCTAGAGAGGCTCCTGCCTGCTTGTTTCATTAAGTGTCTAGGTGGATGTTGACTTGCATTCTCTGCACATTCCTTTTGTTCCTTGCTCTGAGATGGAGAGTAGAGAATCTCTAGCTTGCTGTCAGACAGAGTCACACCATCCTGTCCCAAGTACAGCTATGGCTGAGTGGAACTTTGGTCTTCCTTGTATCCCTAGATTTGGCGTCTCAAGGGCCTGCTTCTCCCTACCTCATCCAGTAGATGCCCATGTCACAGCTGTTCATTGTATTTTCCCAAGCTCATATGCACTTATTTCATGTTCTATTTTAATATCCATTTATTCACTCAATAAGTCTTCTAAAGTCTTCTTCAGTGTTTAGTGAACAAAATTGGAACTCTGTCCTCATGGAAATTACATTCTATCCATATGAATTACTTTTTAATCAATATCCCAAATAATCTATTTTTTTAAAAGACTGTAACTATGGCTTTGAGTGTATCAGTGGAAAACACTTTTTATAGCAAAACAGCCTTTTGTAATGTGATTATAACTAACTTTCTTTACTCCTGGTTTCACTGGAGCATAACTCTTCCAAGTGAGTTTTATTTTCATTTTTTCTTACTTACACTTCCTAAGTGGAGACACTCCTAAACAGCTGAATGTGAAATGATTTTCTTTTAGAACAGTGAAAAATGGAAGACAGTAGTACAGAGACCACAGACACAGAGGAGGACGAGGAAGAGACGGCTCAGGAAGACCCTATTTATGCCATAGCACCTACAACTAACTTCCGAGATGAACGGTTTGTAGATTTATCAACAACTCCAGCTTTCCTTTTTCTACAAGAGGTAATTTCTTTTTATAAACTACTGCAATAAAACCTGAAGCATCAGCTACTTAAAAATTCAGATGAAGTTAATATCAGATCAAAATAATGTATTACAAACATGTTGTAGGAATTTGAGATACTTTAAAGCAAACTTACCCGTACCTTCTCTTCCAAGGGCTTGGGCTATAATTGGGTCAATGTAGTAGAATAGTCCTGATACTTTTACTATATAATAAGAATCTTGATATGAACAGCCAAGTGAGTCTATGCGATGGGTTGATAAATGAAGTAACAGAGCACATTTCTCTCATCATACACTGTATTTTGATAAAATAAAGCCAAGATTTGTCAGGTCTTGACAGAAAGAATACACATTTACCACTAAGGACAGCTACAATGGAAAGAACATAGGCATTTCCTATTTCCCATCACTAGAGATGCAAAAAAGAGGGATACAATGTGTTATTTATACAATTTTTTTAAAGCAAGATGATCATTTAGGATATGTATATGTATTATTTTTAAAGGAGAACTAATCTCATATGCAGGTTTCCTTGTCATGCTTGAGATCTGTACTTTAGCATATCTCTAAAGAGAGATCTGTTAATAATCTATTAATAATCAGAACATAGAATGTGCAAAGTATAAATCTAGGAAAATTGGAAGTTGTCAAAAATTAAATGAAACACATAAAGATATCCCAGGCATTAGTGAGCTGAGATGGGCTGGTATTTGCCATTTTGAATCAGAAAATCATATGGTTTACTGTGTCATGAATGATAAATTCAAGAGGAATGACATCATATTCATTGTCAAAAATGACATTTCAAGATCTTTCTTTAAGTACAATGCTGTCTGTGGTAGAATAATGTCTATATGCATACAGGGAAATCCAGTTAATACAATTATTATTAAAATTTATGCACCAACCACTAAAGCTAGTGATGAAAAAACTGAAAAATTCTACCAACTTCTTCCTTTTAAATTGATCAAAGATGAGGCTTTCTCCGCCCATAAAGAGTTACAGTCTTGTCAACTCACTGGGCAGCTCTCCCCTGCCAATAGGGTCACTGTGAGTCAGCATTGGCTCGATGTCAAAGAGTTTGGTATTTTGAAGATAAAGGTGTGTTTTATAAAATCCTAGTGTGGATTGACGTTCAGTCCAATCGTTTATTAAATACTTGATGATCTCTCAAAACACATGAATGTAAAAATTAGAGTTATTAATCAGTGGCCATGGATAGCCAAAAGCCTTCAATTAGGCTTCAAATAATTGCCCTACTTACTCTTTCAACATTGATGATCTTGTTACCAGTATCAACATGGTTATCAGCATTAATGTTATTACATCTGGCCGAATGCAGCATTGATGTAGACAACTTGAATGTCCCTTTTCATTTTTATAATAAGCTCCACTAAGATATTTTTAATTGGCATCTACATTTTATTTTTAATTCCTTTAATATTCCTTCAAGCTTTATGATTCTTATAAGTCTATATGCATATATATTTTTATATACACACATACATATATATGTACATATTCAGAAGATGTAGTAGAATTGAAGCAGAAAGAGAAAGAAAAGAGAGAAGGAAGGAAGAAGCTAGAAGGGGAACAGGACCAGAGGAAGAGAGGAGAAAATGTAAGTCTTTTAGCTTTATATTTTAAAAGGAGCCTTGTTAGCACAGTGGCTTATGCATTGAGCTGCTAACTGAACGGTCAGTGGTTCAAACCCAGCAACCACTCGATGGAGAAGGATGACTCTGTCTGTTCCCAGGAAAATGTAAAGGCTTGGAGATCCAAAGAGGCAATTCTGCTTTGTTCTGTAGGGTTGCTATACGTTAGAACCAACTATGGTAGTGGGAGGTATATAGAGAAGGATCCCTGGTGGTGCTGTGAGTTAGGCATTGGTTAGGCTGTTAACTGTAAGGTTGGTCATTCAAAATCAAGCAGCTGCTCCACAGCCGAAAGGTGTGTGTTGCATAAAATGTACAGTCTCAGAAAGCCTATGTAGGGTCACTATGGGTCACAACTGATCTGAAAAAGATGGATGTGGTGCTGTCGTCTGGTGTTGGCTTCAGGCCACGTTCAGCCTGCTGTTCATAGCCCTCTGCACACTGGGCTCAAACTATTTTTTGCAGTCTCATCAGTTACTTAGACCATAGGTTCTCAAACTTTTTTGACCTAGTGCCCCTTTTTCAGAAAAGAAAAAAAAAAACTGACTCAGCACCCCCTGGCAATTAAAAACTTGTGTATGCTATCCCATCATCGAGGATAGGTATCTGTTTTTGCAGCCCACCCCCTCCCAATCATTCCAATATCCCCCAGGGGGTAATATGGCCCCTTTAGGGAAACACTGAGTTATACCCTCCTGTTTTTCTAGTGGAGCCTCGGTGATATAGTTGATACATGTTGGGCTGTGATATGCATGGTTGGCAGTTCGAAACCACCAGCAGCTGCAAGGGAGCAAGACTGGGCTGCCTACTTCCATGCACAGTTACAGTCTCAGAAACCCACAGGGAGTCGCGATGAGTAGGCACTGACTTGACGGCAGTGAGTTTCATAATGGTTTGGTTTTTCTAGTAGTTATGCATTGGGCTGCTAACCTTAAGGTCAGCCATTCGAAACCAACAGCCACTCCTTGGGAGAAAGATGGGGCTTTCTATTCCCAGAGAGTCATGGTCTCGGAAGCTCACAGGGTCTACCCTACTTTGCCCTGGCCGGTAGGATTGCTATGAGTTGGAATCCATTTGACGGCATGAGAGTTGTTCCCCTCAGCAAATGCTTCCCTATTCGGTGGTGAGATAAACTCAAATGTGTGAGGAAACTGGCACTATCCTACATGTGAGGTCATGGCTGTGCAAAAACCTGCCCAATCGTATTGTTTCTTAAAAGAGAGTGCTGCAAGGTATATACATGCGTGGGACACTCTTTGAAGCTGCTACGTCTGTACCTAATTGTTCAGACCTTGGCTTGAGGCCTATGTCCTTAGGGAAACTGTTCAAGCAGTCAACCCACAGTCATTTTCTCACACTTGTCAATCTTCCAGCGCTTGTAGACTCTACCGGTCACTTAGTACTCAGTCACTCAGAACCAAAATCCTACTCATAGTGACTCCACAGGAGAGAGCAGAACCGGCCCTGTAGATTTCCGAGACTGTAAATCTTAACGAGCAGGAAGCCTCAGCTTTCTGCTTTCAGAGCACCTGATGGTTTCGAACTGTTGACTTTGTGGGTAGCAGGCCAACCCCTAACCCACTACAACACCAGGGCTCCTTAGTTACTGGCCGATGTTTATTGAATACCTATCTTCACAATATATGTTGCCTAGAATGTTGATTTGTCTCCACCGATGCTCTGGTCATATTAAGCAATAAGACCTAGCAGAGCAGGAACTATATGGCATTAGTTCACACGTTGGGTTGAGTGTTCAGAGTGGTCCTGGGACTAAGCCTCAGGCCTCTTATCAAAGGACTCTGTGTTAATGCTGGACCCCTACTCCCAGCTCTCCATTCATTGCTGCCAAACTACGAGGTGTGGAACTTCACAAATTTTCCTCTTACACCTTTCATAGTATTCCCCAAGCTAGAATTCCTACTTCTCTCTTTCTGTCTGATTATGTAGAGTAGCATTGATTTTAAAATGTGTCAGTATTTATCAAGCATGAGTATGTCAGATAATTAATTTTCCCAAGACTTAGAAGCTGTAAACCCATTCTTGTCTTATATTTAAGAGCCAGAATCAAAACATGAAGTTATCTGGCCTAAGTGTTTTGGCTCTTTTTTCCTCACCAAGAGCCAATCAGCTCCTCCCTTCTCTTCCTTTCATGGAAACAGTGGTGCCCATCGCTGCTGACCTCACTTAGCGGAGGCCTGAAGCAAAGGAAGCACAGGAATATTTGGAAGGCACACAAAGTTGGAATAGAACAAACAATTCTGTAAAAGTGGGGTGTGGCTGTAAATGAGTAATTTTGAGTGAATAGATACAGATAGGTTTATGGGCGTGTGGCCTTTTCACTGAAACAATGTACATTTGAAACTGTGGCTTGTTGGACTTCTTTATTTTTTTCTTTTTAAATTATTTTCTTGAGGGCTCATACAATTCTTATCACAGTCCATACATACATCCATTGAGTCAAGCACATATGTACACCTGTTGCCCTCATCAATCTCACAACATTTGCCCTCTACTTTAGCCCTCAATATCATTTGCTCATTTTCCCCCTCCCTCCC